TCATACGGAGGGCGACGCTCAGCCGTGTGTCCCCCGGACACGGACACCGCTCCCGGTGTCCCCCGGACACGGACACCGCTCCCGGTGTATCCCGGACACGGACATCGCTCCCGGTGTATCCCGGACACGGACACTGCTCCCGATGTTCCCCGGGCTGTCCCGGGTCCGGGATTATTCCCAGGACACGGATCATTCCCGGGACACGGACAATTCCGGGGACATGGACCATTCCCGGGACAGGAACCATTCCCGGGACAGGAACCATTCCCGGGACAGGAACCATTCCCGGGACAGGGAACACTCCCGGGACAGGGACCATTCCCGGGACAGGAACCATTCCCGGGCCAGGGACCATTCCCAGGACAGGGACCATTCCCGGGACAGGGACCATTCCCGGACAGGGACCATTCCCGGGACAGGGAACACTCCCGGGACAGGAACCATTCCCGGGACAGGAACCATTCCCGGACAGGAACCATTCCTCACTCACCTCCTCCCGCTCCGCTGCTCCCGCGCCGCCGCCGCCGCTCGCGCTGCCCGAGCGCTCCTTTCATTGGAGCTCGCTCGGGCCGCGCGCCGCGCTCAGCCAATCACACACCGGCACGGAACTATCCTGGCCAATGGCGTGCGGGGGCGCGTGCCGCGGCAGGGACGGGGACATGGAAAAGCGGGAATGGGACAGGGAATGGGAACGGGACAGGGAACGGGACCGGGATAGGGAATGGGAACGGGACAGGGAAGGGGAACGGGACAGGGAATGGGACCGGGAACGGGAACGGGAACGGGACAGAGAATGGGAATGGGACAGGGACAGGGAACGGGAACGGGATAGGGAAGGGGAACGGGACAGGGAATGGGACCGGGAACGGGAACGGGAACGGGACAGAGAATGGGAATGGGACAGGGACAGGGAACGGGAACGGGATAGGGAAGGGGAACGGGACAGGGAATGGGACCGGGAACGGGAACGGGAACGGGACAGAGAATGGGAATGGGACAGGGACAGGGAACGGGAACGGGATAGGGAAGGGGAACGGGACAGGGAATGGGACCGGGAACGGGAACGGGAACGGGACAGAGAATGGGAATGGGACAGGGACAGGGAACGGGAACGGGATAGGGAAGGGGAACGGGACAGGGAATGGGACCGGGAACGGGAACGGGAACGGGACAGAGAATGGGAATGGGACAGGGACAGGGAACGGGAACGGGATAGGGAAGGGGAACGGGACAGGGAATGGGACCGGGAACGGGAACGGGAACGGGACAGAGAATGGGAATGGGACAGGGACATGGGAAAGCGGAACAGGGAATGGAAACGGGAACGGGAATGGGAACGGGACAGGGACAGGGACAGGGATGGGGGAAATGGTCTCAGGGCACGGGGAGATGGGACTGAGGAGGAGTTGTTCCCTGGCAGGGTGGGGAGACCCTGGCACAGGTGCCCAGAGCAGCTGGGGCTGCCCCCGGATCCCTGGAAGTGTCCAAGACCAGGCTGGACATTGGGGCTTGGAATAATCTGGGAAAGTGGAAGGTGTCCCTGCCCGTGCCAGGGAGGATGGAACTGAGTAAAGCTCATCCTTTTCAATAGTAAAGCCATTCTGGGGCTCTGTGCTAGGACAGCACAGTCCCTGGGGCTGGAACAGGGGACAAAAAGGCAAGGTGGTGTCCGTGCTCCTGGCCCAGAGCAGCGGTGCCAGGGGCTGCGGGGAAGGGAGGGAGGGAGGCACCGGTGCCTCAGGGGTCCCCGAGCACTGTGCAGCCCCTGGCTGCGGTGGGAAGAGCTGCCTGTTGTGGCTGGCCTGGGACTGCCTGCAGTGCCCCTGTCCCCCTGTCCTCCTGTCCCTCTGTCCCTGTGTCGCCCTGTCCCTCTGTCCCTGTGTCCCCCTGTCCCTCTGTCCCTCTGTCCTTCTGTCCCTCTGTCCCTCTGTCCTTCTGTCCCTCTGTCCCTCTGTCCTTCTGTCCCTCTGTCCCTCTGTCCCTCTGTCCCTCTGTCCCTCTGTCCCTCTGTCCCTCTGTCCCTCTGTCCCCCTGTCCCTCTGTCCCACCACCCTCCCATCCCAGGCTCTGACCCCAAGCTCAGGGAGATGGATTTCCGAATCAGACAGGAATGTGCTGGGGCAGTTTATCACAGCAGACAGACACGGAATGTTTTTCACAGAAGAAACTGTCCAAACCCACGTTTCTCTTGTTATTTCAATGGATGTTGAGCACTGAATGACAATCTATTGCCCTTTGTATTTTGGGGTTTTTTTTTACACGGATTGGTGAGGTCTTTACTGCTTTAGCAAACATTCCTGCCGGCTCCAACAAACATTCCTGCCTGCTCCTGCTGAGGCCACGAGGTCCAGCACAAAGCCCCTTTGTGCAGGTGAGGGAAAGGGCTCCCCACGCTCCCAGCTCACTGCCCTGGTTCCCCATTTCCCACTGAGCCCAGCCATTCTCCCTTCTTCATTGTGCCCGAGTCCAGGGAAATCCCTGGAATAACACAAACCGGGATCCAGCTGCCGATTATGATCTGTGATCTGGGAGCACAACCCCAGCTCAGAGCTGAGCTGGCTCCTTAGAACTGCAGTCTGAAAAAAAATAAATCCTAAACTCCTATTGATTTAATTTCTCCCTTGTTGGTACATTCTTTCCTGAAATTTCTCGCAGCATTCCTGCAGAGAAGGGGAACGAGGAAACAGATATCCCAAGGTCATGTGGACCTGGATACGCTTTTCCAAAGGAAGGATCAGAATTTATGGCAGGCCTGTGGAAAGGGAAATGAGCGAAGAGCAGCAAAGGCTGGTTCTGCTCTGGGAGGAGATGGGAACACAGCCCTGACTGTGTGTCCTGTCCCCAGGCATGCTCTGCTCTGCTTCCAGAAGGGAAAAAGGAGTTTCTGCTGCTCCCAGCTCTGGGGTGTGCTGCTGGCTCAGTGAGTTCTCCCTGGAGCCCCAGAACCCCCGGGGGGACAGCAATGCCTTGGCTCCTGCAGGGCTGTCCCCTCGGGCACGGAGCCTTTGGGATCCAGCCCGGGACAAGGACTCGTCCCTTCAGGGGACAGGAGGGGCAGGGGGCACGGGGGGTGACACTGCCTGGGTGCAGCACAAAGGCCAAAGGCTCTGGGGGCTGGCAGCCCCTCTGGAGAGCAGCAATGTGCCCGAGTCAATGGCTGAACAGCTTTAGAAGAGCTATTTGAACGTCCTCAAAAAAATCTGGGTTAAAAAGCAAGGGCAGAACAGAAATTCTGGAGAGATGAAGTCCCTGCAGGGATGGCGTTGGAACCTGACCTTCCAGAGGCATTTTGGGAGCGAGCAGAGAGAACAAACAGCACAGGGATATTGTTTTTCAAACCCATGAAGGGCTTGGCAGCCCCGGGAAACGTTTGGCATGGCGATGGGGTGACATTATCTCCCTTTCCCAAGGCACACGTGGCGACAGGGGACCTAGGAAAGAACTCAGCAGGGATTGCGGGGCGCCACGAGGCCCGGGGTGACAGCCAGCAGCAGCAGTGGCACTGCCACCCTGCAGGGACCGGCCACATCACCTCCCAGGCTCACGAGGAGCTGAGCTCATGCTTTGCACAGGCGTGGAGGGAAGGTTTTGGGGAGGGGAATCCACCTAGCAGGGAGATTCCACCTGCAGGTGACGGGTTTGGGTGCTGGTTTTGGTTTGAGTTTTAAGCAGCAGCTGCAAAGCTGTGACCCCACAGCTCCGGGTGCTGAGCAGGACTGGGAGCTCCCTGTTCCAGCAGCATGAACCCAGCACTAGGAGAAGAGTTAACGCCCTTCTAGATGCTTCCATTTACAATAAAAATACATCTGGAACAGCTGTAATTAATGACAGCACAAATAAATGAAGTGACAGTGAAACAGGCAGAATGACAGGGCACATCAAGGCTGGCAGGTTATTCCTGACCTTCAGAACCTCCCTGGGATGCCCCTGAGGGTGGGAATGCTCTGGGATGGGACACACAGCCAAGCTGGACAGGGGCTGTTTTATTCCAGGTTTCTGAGCGGTTCAGCCTGTCAATACACAGGAATAAACAAACATAAATGCTGGCCCTGAGGATGAAGTGTGCTGCAGTGCCCTGGCAGGCTGTGGGCAGAGCGGGGCAGCCAGGGAGAGGGGCTGGTGAGCTCCAGGACAGGGTCAGGTGAGCTCCAGGACAAGGTCAGGTGAGCTCCAGGACAGGTGAGCTGCAGGACAGGTTCAGGTGAGCTCCAGGACAAGGTCAGGTGAGCTCCAGGACAGGGGAGCTGCAGGACAGGTTCAGGTGAGCTGCAGGTTCAGGTGAGCCCCAGGACAGGTTCAGGTGAGCTCCAGGACAGGGTCAGGTGAGCTCCAGGACAGGTGAGCTGCAGGACAGGTTCAGGTGAGCTGCAGGTTCAGGTGAGCCCCAGGACAGGTTCAGGTGAGCTGCAGGCAGCTCCCAGAGCAGCTGAGGCTCGCAGGGGCCAGCAGGGATCAGTGCTGAGGAACAAGGCTGGCTGTACTCAGCTGTGTGCAGGGAGGGACAGGACGGTCCTGTGACTGCACCCGGCTGATCCTGCAGGAGTCATTCCCCAGCACCTGCCCCAAACACGCTCTCGGGAGCTGCCTGGTGAGTCAGTGGCAGCTTTATCAGCCCTGTCACCCCGGCAGAGCTCCCGGGGCTGTGCGGAGCTCTGGGACAGCTGTGCCCGGCACTCCCGGCCCCGGGGCTGGGACCCCAGCGCTGCTCCTGGAGAGCTGCTGGAGGTGAGGCCAGATTCCCCTCTGAGCTCCTCGATGGGCCCACGAGGCCGGGAGTTTATTTGGGTCACCGAGGCCAGGGCAGGAAAGGAGCTGGGAGCTCTGTGAGGAACCACTGTCGGTGATTTCCAGCTCAGAACGGCACCTGGGGAGCCCTGGCTGGGGATGGAGAGAGGCTGGGGGGAGCTGGCAGGCACGGAGCAGCTGCAGGGGACACAGAAAGAGATCCTCAAGGATTTTGTGATTTCCTCAGGAATCCCACGTGCAGGAAAGGGCCAAACTTCTGCCTGGAATTGATGCTGACTGCTTTGCTGTGTGTGGAGGCAGGGGATGAAAGCTGGCAGCTGGAAGTGAGGTTTGCAGCTCCCCAGGAGGATGGAGAGGGGGGCTCTGCAGCTGAGGAGCCCACCCAGCCCTGATGCTTCCCTGGCACATCCAGGCCAGCAGTGACCACCTACAAGAGCTGCTCGAGTGCTCCTTGATGAATTCAAGTGAAAATCTGGCGCACAGACGGCAGGAATGGCCGAGAGTGAGGAATATTTCTGATGCTGTGGCTCGGGGAGGTGGCAGCCAGCACACCCTGGGTGCCAGCAGGGACCACCCCAACAGCACCCTCGCCCCTGGGAGCAGAGTTTGTGTGCTGGAGGGGGAGAGGCTGGTGCCGTGGTTAAAGGGATTACTGCAAACTCTGCCCTCTTTTCTAGGGGACTGAGAATCTGTGCTGTTACGTTCTTGGCTAATTTTCAGTTTTTCTCTTTTGTACAAACATAAAGGGATAAATGAAATAGAAAATACGGCTCTGCAGCTGCTTCCAGTTAAGAGCTTCCCCCCTTTCCGTGAACGAAGTAGTAAAGCTACAGATTTGGTTGAAATATTTTTGAAGAAATTTTCATCTCCTGGATCCCCAGTTGGAGCAGAGCAATCAAAGGGAAATGACAGGAAAATAAATGGAAGAAACTAATCAAAAAGACAAAGGCAGCTCCCTTTCTATTAAATATTGAATAAGATAACCTAAATTTTTGTATGTGTTGATTTTCCCTGTGGTCGATTTAAGGAGATATAGGATTGAAGTAGGAAGTAAAGAAAATACTGCATCAACCCCAAGAAATATTTTGCAGTGACACACACACACACACACACGATGTTTTTTCACTGGTTGTGATCAGATGAGTCATCCCGTTTGTAGTCAGAAATAGATTCAGAAATGTAGATTAAAAAATAAACCCGGAATACGTGTGGTTTTGAACACAGCTGTTACGGGAGGGCTTTCCTAATTTGGCTATATTCATGCAGGGTCTTTCTTCCAAAGTTTACGCAGTTGGTTTCATCATCAAAAGATTATTTGTAGTGAGTGAAACCCTTGAAATCACGGATCAGATGGAGGCTCGGAAATCTGTGAGCCTGTCTATAAAGTGAGGGATGACACACAACCTTCATGAAGAAAATGAATTCCCTTTTTGCCCTTTTATTTTGAATCAAGGAGTTCCTTTAGTTCTGCCTGAGCTGCTCAGGGGCAGCTGTGAGCCACGGCTGCCTGCACAGCCAGCTCCTGGGGCTGGTCAGCCTGGGCTGCCCAATCCTGCTGGGGGCTGGGGGAACATTCCCAGTCTGCTGTGGGACCATTCCCAGTCTGCTGTGGGACCATTCCCAGTCTGCTGTGGGACCATTCCCAGTCTGCTGTGGGACCATTCCCAGTCTGCTGTGGGACCATTCCCAATCTGCTGTGAGACCATTCCCAGCCTCATGTGGGACCATCCCCAGGCAGGACCACCCTGCTCTGCTCTGGGTGAAGCTCTGTGTCTGTCTCTGGCCTTGCCTGGTGCTGAGGATCCCTCCCTGGGGCTGCCATGTCCCATCCTGTCACAGGGCTGGCTCTGTCCCGCTGGCCTCGCTGCCCTGGAGGGACTGTGTCCACCTGGGAGGAGAGCACAACTGGGAACAGAGGAGATGGAATCTGCAGGATGCCAAACCTCTCGAGAAAGCCGTGGGTGAACACAAAGATGTCCCAGAAGGGGCGTTTCAGGGTGAGGGGCTGCTGAAGGTCAGCAGATGGGCATGGGCCAGTCACATGGCTGGAAGGGTGGTGGAGATGATGAAGGTGGTGAAGATGATGTGAGTGAAGGAGATGCTGAGGTTGGAGTAGGAGGAGGAAGGAGCTGGAGATGCTGGAGGGATGAGGAGGGTGGTGCAGGAGGAGGAGGAAGGTGCTGGGGATGAGGAGGGTGGCAGGGCAGAGCAAGATGAGCTGTTGCAGACACGAGCATGGTGCAGCTCTGCTGGAGCAGCAGGGTTTGTTCTGGGGCTGTAAATCCTTTACCCCACAAATGGCAGAGTCCTGCTGAGCGAGAGCCCCGGTGCCTCATTGGGCACTGAAATCCACCTAAACAAAGCCATGGTCAAGTGTCTGACAGCTCTGTGTGTGTGTCTGTGTCAGGATCCTGGAGCTGGCTCTGAAGACTGAAATGTTATGACATTAGCAACTTTACTACCGCAGAGAAATCTTAGAAATGCAAGAATGCAAAAGTAACAAAAGTAATTGTGCAGATCATTGCAGTTAAAAAATAGAACCATTAGCAAAGGAGGACTAATCTTATCTGATGCTCCTCTTCAGAATCTGGCATGTAGTTTTATGGATTAAACTGTTTTTCATTTTGACACTAAGAGCCCTCTTTTAACTTTCCAAAAGGCACATCTGAAAACAGCTCAGGAATCTCAAAGAGAAAAAGAGTCAAAAACAAAGATTCCTCCTCTGCAAAGTACCTTCCTCATTGAAACTTGGCCACAAAGGTCTGCTCTCCCAGCTCCAAACCCTCTTTTGGAAGAAATGCCGAGTGGCCTTTTACAGATGTAAACCCTCCATGGTCCTGGGATGGAGCAGGATGGACAAGGGTGGAGGACCTCTCTCCACAGCCTTTACCAGGAGAACACGGATATTCATGTTGTGGCTGGTTTCTGATGCTGCTGCTGCCCCTTGCAGTAACAGAGGTTCCTCACCTGGGGATTGCCAGGGACACCATCAGAACCATGTGCTGCTGCATGGGAACGGGTTCAGGAGCTCCTGTAAAAGGCTCCCAGATCACCCCCACTGTTCCCTGCAGAAGGACCCATTGTGGTTTGATAGGAGGTGTCCTGTTTCCTTAAATTAATGATACACTGCAGGGCTGCACCATATATTTAAATTGCCATTTACTGTAGTAATATATATTAATCATCCTCTAAAAGAAGAAATGGGCCATTGTCAGAAGGAAGTAAAGGAACATTTTATATTACCCCAGGCTGTCTTGTTTCTGCAGGGACACAAGAAAAATTGTGTTTATCATCTGGTATTTCAACAGAAAAACACTGTAGGGCCTCTCTAAATCCATCCAGCTTAACTGGCTGCTCGCAAGTTCAAAAAACAACCGTGGATTTAAAAGAAAGCATTTATTTCCCTATAGTTCAGCTACTATCAAATGCTCTCAGCAGCTGAAAGAGCAGGTGGGAATGAAGGGCCCTGCTGTGCCTGGGGCTGTGCTCAGCAGCACCCAGGAAATGTGATTTGCCCCAAAGGTGGCCAGGGCACCGCAGGATTTCACCCTGAGATGAGCTCATGTGCCCAAAGTGAGCCCAAACCCTGCCCCTGCTGCATCCCCTGGCAGCTGCAGCGCCTTTCCAAAGCTGGCTCCAGCAAAAGGGGCAGCTCGGCTCAGCAGCTCTTCTTACTGACACTGAATTCCCATTCTTTTCCATTCATGGCAGGGCAGATCATTCGGGCACTGGGAGCACAGCTGATGATGGGGAGGGAGTTACCAGTGCCAGCCCCCAACACCGGCATGCAACCCTTCTGACATTACCTGGGCATGCCCCGTATTTACCCCTTCCTCCTTAGCTCTGTGTTAATCTTGTTTATCACCTCCTTGTTTATCACCCTTCAGAAGCTGCCGGCTCCTTCATCCCCCTGCGGCTCCCACTCAGATGCTGTCAGTGATTTGATTTACGGGGCTGTAAGTCTGGACCTGCCAGGGGAGTTCTGCATCCCTCGGCTCGGTGCTGCCTCCAGGAGCTCTGCTGTGGGTGCAGATGGGATGGAGGGGTTAGCACCCCTGTGTGTGCAGAGGCTCTGGATGGAGAGAAGCACAACTGCAAATGTCACTGCCCAACAAGAGCCCCCGTGTCTCTGGTCAGCCCAGCGGCCCTGGGGGGCACAAAGGCCGGGGCAGGTTCTGCTCCCCTGCTCCCAGCGGGGAAAAGCCGGGACAGCCCAGGGATGCTCCCGATCCAGGGGCTGGGAGGGGACGTGGAAACACGGGCTGAGCACCCGGGTGATTCCTGAGGGAAACCTGTAGCTGGGAATAAAGGAGCAGAAGTTTCATGATTTTAAAAGGTGAAGTTATTTCTGTTCCCTGAGTGGGTCTCTGAAATGTCTCCTGGGAAATTCATACCAATGCGAGACACACTTCAGTTACTGCCTAAATAACAGCAAAATGTGAATCTTGCAATCCTGTTCTGTGGGCTCAGTAAAACAAACAGTGCCAGAGTGCAGAGCTCAGCCATGTGCAAAGAGAAAAATCTCCCCTCGTTTGCTGGAAGCAGAAACAATCCTGCTTCTTCTCAGAGAGATCTCTCACCCCGGGAACGCGGTGGGAACACTGCTCCGAGTCGGCTTCAGCAGTGGGGCTGAAACACTCCTGGGGAACAGCAGCTGGTCCTGACACGGTGGGAAAGTGGGAGTGCTGGGATTGAGGCTGGATTTGGCTCAGACCTTTCTGCTGGATTTGGGGAACAGCCAACACCTCATCTACAGCGGCACAGGGTGAGGAGGGGGACCCTGACAGCCAAGGGGGGGCCCTGGACATCGGTCATGGTGAGAGCAGCGGGCGTCTGTGATGGGGAAACTGGGGAAGGGTAAAGGTGCTTTTATGGCCCTGATGGGGATCTGCATTACAGTCTGGAGAAGGGACTGCTGGATATGAAACTTCTGGAGAACTGGGAAAACTGGGGAAAAACTGGGGAGGGAGGGAGGGAGGGAGGAAGGGAGGGAGGAAGGGAGGAAGGGAGGAAGGAAGGAAGGAAGGAAGGAAGGAAGGAAGGAAGGAAGGAAGGAAGGAAGGAAGGAAGGAAGGAAGGATGGCACTATCTGGCTGTGCCCATGGTGTGTGTGTCCATCCATCACAGCCTGACACACACATTCACTGCCTGGCTTTGGAATGTGGCTCTTGGGCACAGAGGAAGCAGATTTACGGCTCTGAGCTCCGTGGCAGCATGTGGAGGTAAATCTGGCCAAAGGAATTTCCTTGTACCTGTCATTGTAAAGATTTCACACAGCACTGCTCCAGCAGAATTATTTATCTCTGTAATCACATCAACAAGAGAGGAACCAGTGTTATATAAGGGCTGTGGATGGGTTTGTATCAGAACAGGATAATGCAGGTCCTGTCACTGGACATGGGCACAGCACACACAGATTCAGCTGTCACCCTCCCCAGCAAGCAGCAAGAGCTCATTGGCCAGGAGACATGGCTGGGATGAGGGAATGCCTGAAGGAAGGATGTTCCACAGCCCAGGACACTGGGAAGTGGGGTTTTATATTTCCAGGCAGGAACATTTATGTTTTACAGGTGATAAAGTAGTAAAAGAAGTGACTTTGCCAACCTTACCACTACAGCCTGACCATTATTCTAATTCCTTTAGAGAACGAATCTTCTGCCTTTCAGTGAAGTCTGGTCTTTTGGGTTGAATTGGGGAACCAGTAAGTGGTGATTAAATTAAGAGTAGTCCTAAGTTACTAAATAAAAGGAAATGGGATCAGGGAAGGCACTGAAGCAGCCCACATGTGCTCTGTAAGGAATATCCTTACCTGCCAGGAAAGTAACAACACAGTTCTGTAAATAGTGGGGAGAAAATCTGGGAATGTCACAGCTGAAGGGACTCTTGGACAGGAATTGGTGCTGCAGTGCACAGGAAAGGGGCCACGAGAGAGAAAGCCAAGTGTGC